GGGTGATGGAGAGATCTCTCGACAATCTCAGCAGGTCTCCGACTCCCAACTCGATATCATTACTATCACGACTCCTCCTCCCCGTGTGTCTGTGACCCTGGCGGTGTGAGCCGCCCCGCCCTTTGATCTCCGCCACAGATCGATGAGCGCACGTGCAGGCACGCCGTGCGGAGCTGTCGCTCACACTTGACTGGGACGTCCTCACGGCGACGCCCACTTCTGGTCTGCTGGGAGTTTCTTTTGGCACACGCACTTGTGCTGCTGCTGTCAGACCTTAAGAATGACAATTAATTAATTTGTAAAATGGTCGTTTTTAAGGACAAGCGGGCTGACCCAGATTTCAGGGGTTTCCAGAAATCTTGACCTACCCCAAAAGTGGATATTGTCCTACCTATAGAAGTTTGGTTTCATTGGCGTGTATATTTGTTTGGTTATAGAGAAAACTCTCCTTGCTTGTCTTTTAAAAAATTGAATAAGGGGCAAAAACTTTACCTTCGATTTTCTCAAAAGAGCATTTTTCGGGATAGCCCCCTTGTGCTTAAAAGCGACCAAATAAGAGTCGAAAGTAGCACACAATCGGCTGTAGTGGGGGCACACACAGTTAGCTCGGTTGGCATCATGATGGAATATTTAGTGGTTGGCTCTGGTTCAAATCGCTAAAGGGATGCTCTGAATTTCGTTTTATTGGGGAGCCTATGTGGCCGGACTTTACGGTAGCATCAGAAGACCCTATCGTTGCTTGCAAAAGACATGAGTTTGAATCCCGAAAGAGGAAGTTTTTAGTGTGCTTTTTTCCGAGTTTCTCTGTCTGTCTATCTGCTAAGATGCTGTATCTCACTCAGGGTCGAAGAAGGGCTACTGCCTAAATGATTAAGTGATTTTGTCGATGGTAGCGTTATTCACATACAATCACATTTTGTTGTTGTTTTTTTCCTTTTCTCGCTCTCATACTCTCTCTCTGTCTCTGCCTCTGTCTCTGTCTCTGTCTCTGTCTCTGTCTCTCTCTCTCTCTCTGTCTCTCTCTCTCTCTCTCTCTCTCTCTCTCTCTCTCTCTCTGTGTCTTTTTTGTTGTCTTTCTGTCTGTCCGTCTCTCT